TGAAAATACTTTCATGAATACAATAAAAAACTTTCATAAATGCAGCGAAAAAGTACATTAATGAAATGAAAAATATTCATAAATTCAGTCGAACTTCTACATAAATAAACTTTCATTACTGCAGTGAAATTTCTACATTAAATAAATGAAATTTTTCATTCTAGTGATGAAATCATTTTATTCCCTTAATTAAATCCGTTTAATTTATTCAATGAAATTCCAAATTCAAGCAACGTAAATTTTCATTGTATGAAGAAATTATTTCATTATTTTAACGTAACGTTTTATTACATTAATGAAAAAATATCAATGAAACCGATTCATTGAAAATGCGAAGCATTTTTATTCAGTGTCCGTACCACCAGTTTTAATCGATCTGCAGCCTTGTTTAAGCCGAATGCCTGAAACTGAAAAGTGAAACTCTGCGGACAGAAGCTAAAGTACTGCTACGGATCACTTGCACAAATATTTTGTCATTTGAGAGTTTGATTTAAAAATACTTAACCAAAATAGTCGAAATACCTTACCGAACAAATTATGAGCATTATATCAAAAAATAGAATCACACTGGAAAATGTAAGGAGGTCTTTTATTTTCAGAGAGGCTGGATTCTCAAATATCTTCGATTAAAAAAGGAGGGGTTTGAAGGTTGTCTTATATCAACGAAGGTCGAATAAAATAAAACTGGAATATAAAAAAAATTAGACTGACACTGAAAAATATGAAGAGATATTTTATTTCCTGAAATGTCAAACCTCTTCGGTTGGGAAAAAGTAGAGATTTAAAGATTGTCCTATATCAAGGAAGAGCGAATTTAAGCTAATCAATTTAAATTGGTATTCCATGAATCGTATATATGTGTCAAATTTCTATTTTTTATTTAAAAAAATAATATTTACCCAACGAGCCCCTATATTCTCCCTCTTATCGACAAAGGGATGGGAATATTTTATTATTATCACTGTCATGAACAGATTTATTTATTTTCAGTTATTTATTTGTTTTAAACACACGCTCTGTATTCCAAGTCAAGTGAAACAATTGCAAATCATGTTTGCATCAATATCTGTATCAAAATACCAAATATGCCAAGTCATTTTCGATTTTACACACAAACATTGATTAGGTAAGGCGGAATACAGGCACTGGGAATTGTTTTTAATTTTTGAAAATAAATATTCTATTTAACACAGTTTTGAGTAGGTGATTTCTAGACTAATGATAGATAACCAAGCCGGAAAGTGAGAATGGACAACAAAATAAATTCAAAATTAATAAAATACAATACCCAAAAATAAAAATGTTCACCTAAAAATCTAAGTTTCAAGAAAAATAAATATCGAAATAAACTCCTGCTAATACAAAAAAATGTTACTGACTTTAACCGATAGCAAGTCGATTTTTTTAATATGCCTCCAGAATTCGTTATTTTCGAATTTCACAGAAACAAGCTGTAAATATTTTTTTTCAATACATAAATAAAAATATGAACGACAATTGTTGGCTTTTTCAACTAATGAAAAACATTCATTAATGAAATGAACAACTTTCATGAATCCAATGAAACGTGTACGTAAATGAAATGAAAACGTTCATTAGTGCCGTGCAATTTCTTAATTAAAAAAAGAAATTAACTTTTTCATTAATGGAATGAAATCATTTCATTCCAGTAATGAAATCTATTCAGGCTGTAAATATTTTATTTCAATATATAAATACAAATAATTAAGAAATGATCGGCAAATGATTGTTTTTTCAACTAAGAACCTACCAGTTCGAATCATTTTATCAACTCGAAGGACCAACTCTGGATTTCAGAAAGCGCAGTAACAAATCTTTCCCCAATATTCACCATAGAAATGTTAATGGTGGACGATATAAACAAAATAATTTTAATTCATATATTAATTAAATTCGTGTTGTTTGTTTTTATTCTCCTCTGTTGGATGCCGCAGAGCTTTTGCGAACCAAAAAATCTCCATAGTCATTGTTGTGATTGCTTAACGACAGAGCTCTGGTTTTTTTAATATATAGGGCATATTAAATATGTAAATAAACAGCAGCTTACAGATAATAAAAATAAATAATAATGTCGTTCAGTTCGATCGAACCGAACTTTTTATTCCCTCCTTCATCATGAGGTGGACGTTCAAAATACCTACAACTGGGATCGGGAATTTTATGTGGAGAAAACGATATACAGATACATTCGAAATTGTTTATAACGACGGTAAAAGGACCGGCAAAATTGATCGACACAAGCGATGTGTTATTATAAATGATATCAAATAAAGACCAGAACTTTTCACAGGACTTTTGGATAAGTCAATATAACAAATATGTCGTAATAAACGAAAAATGACTTCAAAATCTGAAAAGTTGGCATTGAACCTCTATATATATAACGAAAATGACACGTGAATTTTGGGAAAATGTTTATGTGGAGAAACTATATTTGGTACAAATTTGATTTCGTACTAGAACGGTAGGAGAAGGACTAAATGTGATACCATTTACATTTGGCGAATCGGTGGAGCTAGAACTCTGAAATTTGGGTTAGTGGTTGTTAATTGAGTGTAGGATAGATGTACTAAAGGGTTTTTTGGAAATTCGAACTATAACTATTCGAAAAGTACGAAAATGTACTAAATTTGGTACAATTTCGTAGCATGTGAATGGAGTGAGCTAAAAACTTGAAATTTGGAATGTAAATTAACGTTGAGAAGTAGGGTCGATATGAGGAGAGTTTGGAAAGCGTGTACTCATTTGTACGAAAAGTACTATATGGTACTATATTTGGTACAAATTTGATTTGGAGGTACAAATCGAGCTAAAATCCTGAAAATTGAAATTAACATTACTGTCGGAGTGTAGGATTGGGATATGTATGTAATTTTGGAAATTTTTACTTATGTGTACAAAAAGTACTAAATCGTACTATAATTGGTACAATTTGTATTTGGGTGAACCGATAGAGCTGGAACAATGAAGTTTGGGTTTAGGATCATTGTAGGGATGTAGGACTAGGGTCAGGATTCAGTTTAAGAAAATAATACTTTACCATTTAGTACCCATAAATGGTACTAAATTTGGTATTTTAGGTGAACCAATAGGCTAGAATCATGAAATTTGGAGTCAGGATCACTGTTGAGGTGTAAGATTGAAATATGTAGAAAGTTTTAGAAATTTGTACTGATGTGTACTAAATTTGGTACAATTTGAATTGTGGGTGAACCGATAGAGTTGGAATCCTAAAACTTGAATTTAATATCATTTTGGGGGTGAAGGATTGGGGTATGTAGGAAGTTTTGGAAATTGGTACTACTATGTACTAAATTTAGTACAATTTGAATTTTGGGTGAACCGATAGAGTTTTAATCCTGAAAAATGGATTTAGGGTCACTGTGGGGGTGTTGGCTTGGGTTAAGTTGGACGTTTTTGAAATTCGTACTACTGTGTACTAAATTTGGCACAATTTGTATTGTGGGTGAACCGATAGAGTTTGAATCTTGAAACTTGGATTTAGGATCACTGTGGGGGTGTAGGATTGGGGTATGTAGGAAGTTTTGAACATTGGTACAACTATGTACTAAATTTGGTACAATTTGAATTGTGGGTGAACCAATAGAGATGGAATCCTGAAACTTGGAGTGGCAGTGTAAGATTGGGTTAAGAAGGAAGTTTTGGAAATTCGTACTACTGTGTACTAAATTTGATACTATTTGGATTATAATTAAGTTTTTATCTAATTCATGATTTCAATTGGATTGCATGATGTAGGTAGTAATGGAAAATTTTATTTATGTGTTCTAAGTGGTACTAAATGTGATACAAATTGGAATTAGGTGAACCGATAGAATCCTGAAATTTGGAATTAAGATTGGGGTATGTGGGAACATATAGCCAAAAATTCCCACAGGTAGGTAGGTAGGTATTTATATTAATGTGCACTAACTGATACTCAATTTAGATTTGGGTGAAGCTATATTAGATTTTTTTTCAAAATAAGTGTTACAAGAGTACAAATGGTAAAAAATTGCACCAAATTTAGTATATTGGTAGATTTCTGTTGCGGTCGCAATGGGTGTGTAGGGATGAGATATAGAGGTAGATTTGAGAGTATACTATGGCAGAACATACGTACAAAATGGTTCTAAAATTTTAATAATGGTCGATATAGGGTTTTAAATACATCCCACATTCGCCAACGAAGTGGCGGGTATATGCTAGTTTCAATATATAAACGAAAATATTTAAAAAAATATCGGTAAATTATAACTTTTTCAAGGACCAAACCTTGACCCCCAAAACTCACAGCAAAAATGTGAATGTTGGACAAAAAAAATAAATGAAATTTCTTATACAAAATTATTTTCTTTCATATTTCTCTACCTGCAAAAATTTTCTTTGCCTTCAATGAGGAAAGGAATCCAAGTCCCACATATGACAAACAGATTTTCCCCAGACATTTCAGAACAATCCAAATGCAATAAGAAAATAATTTAAAACAAATTAAAATAGGACCGACCTATCATTCAAATCGACACATTGTTTTAGTTTACTGAGCAGGTAATTTTTTTTTGAAATTCCCGACACACACACCACACCCATTATCCTCAGGTATTGATGCTAGAGCTAGCCAGCTATCCAATAATAACAATAACAAATAACATAACAAACACACAACAAAATAATGGCATGTCATTCTGATAAGACAGACTGCCGGCAGGGAAACTCGACAGATTAAAGAGAGATTTTTTACTATCATTTCAAAATCCCTTCTAGACCCGCAGCTAGCCATAATCACATGCGGAGTGGTGATAAGCACGGCATGCCGCTTCAAAAATAATAAATTTTCCATATATAATCTTGACTTGAAGAATTTACGTTTTTAGTTTCCGTTAAGAAGTGTCAGAGTAAACATCCGTAAAATTCGAGAAGTGAAAGAGAACCTAACCTAAAAAAAAGAATTAAAAAAGAAAGTAGAAATCGGGAAAAAAATGTTCCTCTACATTCTAATTGCCATCTGTTCGGCCGTTTTAATTTACTGTAAATGGGCCTACAGCTATTGGCAACGTCACGGCTATCCCTATGTTCCCGCCCAAATACCCTTTGGCGTTTTGGATCCCGTTGTACGCACATGGAAAAAATCTGTGGGCATGGCCATCTATGATATCTACGAACAGACTCGGCAGCATAAAGTTGTCGGCATGTATCTGATGAATCGTCCCGCTTTGTTGGTTCGTGATGCCCAATTGGCTCGTGATATGTTAACCAAAGATTTTGCCAGTTTTCATGATCGTGGTATTTATGTCGATGAAATTCATGATCCCATGTCGGGTGGTATCTTCTTCCTCAAGGGACAACAATGGAAGGCATTGCGTACAAAGTTGACACCCTCATTTACATCGGGAAAATTACGTGGAATGTTCGATACGATTCATGATGTTTCGATGCGTATGGTCGAATATTTGGATAAACAATTGCCGGCCACATATAATACCTACAAATCGATGGAAGTTAAACATTTATATGTGACGTGAGTGAAATTAGGAAGAAAAAAGAAGAGGAAGAAAAAATATCTTTATCTCTGATTAGCTAGCCATCAGATGGCCTTTATATTGACCTCTTATTCGACAAAAAATGTTCAAAGAAAATTCTAATAGTTTCTATGTGTGTCCGTGCGTGTGTGTTTATTTCCTATTTACAGTTACGCCATTGATATTATTGCCTCGTCGATTTTTGGCTTAGACGTGGACAGTTTCAGTGATCCCCAAAATGAATTCTTCAAATTGAGCCGTAATGTCAATGAGAACTCATATCGTGGTGTATTCCGTAATACTTGCCAAATTATGTACCCAGGGTAAGTAAAATATTAATAAATCAAAAAATGTTCGAATTATTATTATAACATATTTGGTGATTTTATAAAAGAATTTAATTTTTGAAAATTTTTGGCAATTTTATTCATTTTTGAAAAATACCAAAATGTTCCAAACTGTAATTGAGAATTAAAAATATATTTTGAAAAATTTGTGCATTTTTTAAAAAAAGCCCAAAATTGGGGATTTTTCTGAAAATTGAAAAATATATAAAAAATTTTAAAAATATTATTAACAGACTTTTTTAGAATGATATTTTATTAAGAAAAAATTTTTTTGGGAATTTTTGCCATTTTTTGAAAAATACCCAAAAATGGGGATTTTTTCCCCAACACCCAAAAATATTACAAAAATTTTAGAAATATTGATTTTAGAATATTAGAATGATAATCACTAAAAATTTATTTTTTGGAAATTTTATTTCAAAATTTGGGAATATTTTGAAAAATACCCAAAAATGGGGATTTTTCCCAAAATTAAAAATACGTAGAAAAATGTTAGAAATATAATTTAGAAACCTATTTAGGATGATATTTTATAAAAAATTTAAATTTTTGAGAATTTTTGCCTTTTTTTTTTTGAAAAATACCCAAAAATGGGGATTTTTTCCCCAACACCTAAAAATATTACAAAAATGTTATTTCCAGTCTAATTTATAATGATAATGACTAATAATTTGAACTTTTGTAAATTTTATTTCAACATTTGGGAATATTTTGAAAAATACCCAAAATTGGGAATTTGTCACAAAATTAGAAAAAAATGTAAAAAGTGTTGGAAATATAATTTAAAAACTTATTTAGAATGATATTTTATAAAAAATTTAAATTTTTGAAAATGTTTGGCATTTTTTGAAAAATACCCAAAAAAGGAGATTTTTCCCCATTACCCAAAAATTGCACAAAAATTTTAGAAATACAATTTCCAGTCTAATTTAGAATAATTATCATTAAAAATTAATTTTTGGAAATTTTATTTCAACATTTGGGAATATTTTGAAAAATACCCAAAAATGGGAATTTTTCCCAAAATTAAAAAATATGTAAAAATGTTAGAAATATTATTTACAGAATGATATTTTATAACAAAAAATAATTTTTGTAAATTTTTGGCTTTTTTTGGAAAATGCCCAAAAAAGGAGATTTTTCCCTATTAGCCAAAAATTGCACAAAAATGTTAGAAGTACAATTTCCAGTCTAATTTTTAGAGTGATAATCACTAACAATTTAATTTTTGGAAATTTTATTTCAACATTTTGGAATATTTTGATAAATACCCAAAAATTAGGATTTTTCCCAAAATTAAAAAAAATACGTAAAAAAATGTTAGAAATATAATTTACTAACTTATTTAGAATGATATTTAATAAAAAATTTTAATTTTTGAAAATTTTTGGCATTTTAGTTCAATTTTGAAAAATACCCAAAAATGGGAATTTTTCCCCAACACCCAAAAATATTACAAACATGTTAGAAATACAATTTTCAGTCTAATTTAGAATGGCATTCACTAAAAATTTAATTTTTGGAAATTTTATTTCAACATTTGGGAATCATTTGAGAAATATCCAAAATTGGGGATTTTCCCCCAAAATCAAAACTTTGTAAAAAAATGTTCAAAATATTATTTCCATTGCATTTAATTAAATTTTTGGAAAAATCGTTTCGAACATTTGGACATTTTTTTCAAAAAATACCCAAAAATTGAGATTTTTGCAACAAAATTAAAAAAATATATAAAAATGTTAGAATTATTATTTCCAGAATATGATTTTTTCATCTAGAAAAACTATTATGGGTATTTTTTTTAATTATTTTTTTTATATTTTTTCGACTTTTTGGGCATTGACATTTTTGAAAAATTTCCAAAAATGGGGATTTTTTCCCAAGAAATTACTAAATGGTAAAAATTTTTTAGGACTTTTAGCTATATTGGGCAAAAATTACAAAAATCTAAAAGTTAATAAACTGTAGAAAATGATAAAATATATTATTATCCGGGCTAATTTAAAATGATTTTTCATAAAAAATACAGTTTTAAAAATGTTAAAATATCCAGAACATTTTTACCATCAAAGTTTAAAAAATAATATTTTATTAAAAGTTTAATTTTTGTGATTTTTCAGCATTTTTTGTTATATTGGACATTTTTGAAAAAATATAAAAAAATGGGAATTTTCTCCAAAAGTTGAAAAACTGTAATAAATTTCAAAAATAATTATTTCAGGCTAATTTAGAATGCATTTTCATAAAAAAATACAGTTTTGAAACATTTGGTATTTTTTTGAAAAATACCCAAAAATTGGAATTTTATTCTCAAAATTAAAAAAAAAATGTATATTTCATTTTGGACACATTTTCCCCAATATTATATTATTTCCACAGTTATGTCCGAAAATTTTGATCTTTTTTTACATCTGGTCATTTTTTTTTTTTTAAATTTCCAAAAATTGGGATTTTTTCCCCAAAAAATTACTAAATGGTAAAAATGCTAGAAATATAAAAGGGACGCTACATTAGAGTCATATTTCATCTAAGATTATGATTTTGGTGATATTTTAAGACTTTTAGTTATATTGGGGCATTTTTGAATAAATACCCAAAAATGGGAATTTTCCCCAAAAGTTAATAAACCCTTGAAAATACTAGAAATATTATTATCCAGGCTAATTTAAAACGATTTTTCATAAAAAATTACAGTTTTGAAACATTTGGGAATTTTTTGGAAAATACCCAAAATATTTGGGTTGTTTTGTTCTTTTTTTAATAGTAACTACCCTATAATGGGATTTTTTCTATAATATTAAAAAAAATGTTTCGAAGTACTATTTACAAGCTAACTTATTATAATATATCATAAAAAATTGAATTGTTAGACACTTTTTTGTACATTTGGGCATATTTCGAAAAATACCCAAAAAATGGGATTTTTTTCCCAATATTAAAAGAATGGAAAAAAATTGTGTAAATAATATTCCAAAGTCATTTAGAATGAATTTTTATTAATAAATCTCATTTTTTGCAACATTTGGACAAAATCATCAAAAATGAAAATTTTTTATAATTGTGAAAAATTTTACTTTTCCCCAAAAATTGGAAATTTTCCAAAAAACATATTGAAAAAATAAATAATATTCCAAAGTCATTTAGAATGATTTTTTTTTATATAAAACACATTTGGGTATTTTACGAAAAATACCCAAAAATGGGAATTTTTTCTTTAAAACATATAAAGGAAAATATATTGTGGAAATATTATTCCAAAGTCATTTAGAATGAAATTTTTATTAATAAACACACATTTTTAAAAAATTGAGGTATTTTACGAAAAATACCCAAAAATGGGAATTTCCTCTTTAAAACGTATAAATGTGAAAAATTTTACTTTTTCCAAATTTGAGATTTTCTGGAAACATATTGTTATAAAAATCATCTTTCTTTTATCAAAATTGCGGTGTAGTTGCCAAATTTTGTACAAAACTTAAATTGGTCATTTTGAGAGATTTTTCTCCAAATGGCTAAAAGCTTTTTTTTCAAGTCTAACCGGGAATGATATTTCTCATAAAATTACAATTTTGGGTATTTTTTAACAATTTGGACTTTTTTTCTAATTATGGGAATTTTTTGGAAAAAAAATACTCAAAAATGACCAAAAATTATACATGAAAATTATTTTTGGACTTTTTTCTAATCTAATGCGAAAATAAACTGAAAATAATTATATTAACATTTTTTATTTTTTTTTTTAAATTTTAAGAAAAAAAAATCCCCACGTTTGGGTATTTTTCAAAAAATTTCAAATTTTGTCGAAAATTTAATTTTTTATAAAATATAAATCAAAATTGGTCTGTAAATCATATTTCTATAGTGTTTGTCATTTACTAATTTTGGGGAAAAGCCTAATTTTTGGGTTTTTTGAAAGTGCAAAATCGACCAAAATTTTTTTTCAAACTTGGTGTTGCCATTAGGATTGATTTAAATTATCAAAAAAATCGTAATATAAACAAGTGTCCAATCCATTTCTAATATATTGTTTTCCTTTTTTTCCAAAAATTCCAGTTTGGAGAAAATCTTCCAACGTTTGGGCTGGACCGAACCCGCTCCCGAATATATGAAGAAAATCGTACGCCAAACAATTGAGAAACGTGAAAAACACAATATTGTACGCAAGGATATGTTGCAGTTGTTGTTGCAATTGAGAAATACCGGTAAAATCAATGGTGATGAAGATGAAGGATGGTCGGCGGTTAAGACAAAGGGTAAGAAGAAGAAGCATACAAGAAGTTCAGAAAAATCGAAAAAAACATTTATTATTTTCATTCCTCTTGTCACAGATGCCCTTGCCAGTATTTCAACTGAATTGATAGCCGCCCAATTGTTCTTGTTCTATGTGGCCGGTTTTGAAACATCGGCTGCCACTGCTGCCTTTACCCTTTACGAATTGGCTCGTAATGCTGATTTGTTGGCCAAAGCCCAAGAAGATGTAAAACAGGCATTGGAAAAACATGGCGGTTCAATGACCTATGATTCCTTGAAGGATATGAAATTTTTGGATTTATGTGTGATGGAGACGACACGTAAATATCCCGGCTTGCCCATATTAAATCGTGAATGTACCCAGGATTATCCTCTGCCCGAATCGAATTTGATTATCAAGAAGGGTACACCAATTATTATTTCCCTCTTTGGTATACATCGTGATGATGAATATTTCCCGGATGCATTGCGTTATGATCCGTATCGTTTTGAAAATGAAAATTATAATGCCGCTGCGTATATGCCATTCGGTGAGGGACCCAGACATTGTATTGGTAAGTAGAGAATATTGGATTTTTTATTTTCTTTGGATATTTATACATTTTATTTTTCTCTCTAATTCCAGCTCAACGCATGGGCAAGTTGAACGTGAAGGTGGGTGTTGCTCAAATTCTCCAACATTTTGATGTGAAAGTTGATCCCACCGCCCCTGAAATTGAATTCGATAATTTCGGTTTGCCCATTATGCCAAAGGGTGGTGTACCCGTTCAATTGTCGCGAAAACAAAAACTTGTGATACAAAATTAGAAATAACAATTTTAAATAGAAAAAAGTAAATATATCGTAAAAATAATTTATAAATTGAGTTTTTAAGTTAATTTTCAAAAATAGGATAACATATATAAATATATTTGTTCTGTTCAGAAACCTACTAGAATGTAAAATTTTTTAAGACGACAATTACAATTTATCGAAAAGAATTGTAAAAACTCGTAGAATCTTGCAGAACAGGAACAGACTTATTGTTGTTTTAAAAATGGGATTGAAACTGTTAAAATATAATAGGAAAGGCACAAAGACGAAAGGGTTCGACTGAAGTTGAAATATTGATATTGAGGTTATAAAATGACGCGTGTCCTTTGCATGGAGAGTTGTCAAATGCTAAGTGTTTTGGTGGAGACATCCCGGAACACCGAATTAATTCAATTTCGTAATGATACAATATTGTCATTTCGGTTTAAAAATGGTCCTATAAAAGGGGTTAGACCTCTATATTGGGTTTATCTACGAAAGATCGACAGATATTTATAATTTTTATATGGATATGAGAGGACCCAAAAGTTTAAATGCGTCTCTGAAATCTTAAAAATATCAAAAATTGGGTGTACGTTTATAGGGGTACTATGTCAAAGCGTGGGCCGATATGTATAATTTTCGGTATGAGGTATTACCACCTAATGTAAGCTTTAAATATTAAATATTAATAGAAAATTGTTATCTGAAATAATCAAAATAACCAAAATTAAGGGTCATTATATGAGGACTATACCAGATCAGGGACCGAAATTTGTAATTTTAAGTAAAAAATATAGAACCTTATTTATTTTTAACATTTTGACACCTTATAGGGGAGATACCGGAAGTGGACCATCTCCGAACTTGATCAAGCCAAAGTAAAAAGTGTGTGCAAAGTTTGGATGAAATCGGACATTTCATTCGATTGATATCTAATAACCAAAATTTAAAAAATATGGACACTTTGTGGGGAGGTACCAGAAGAATTGGACCGATGGGTCGCAGACTTGATCTACCATAGGTTAAAATAATATGATGTGTAAAGTTTGGATCAAATCGAACACATCATTTCTTTGATATTGATTTAACAAATTTAGGAGTGGATCGATTGGTCAAAACTTCGGACTTGATCTAGGATTGGTAAAAATATTCCTATGTGTAAAGTTTGGTTCAAATTTGACATTTCATGCGCTTGATATTGGATAAAAATTGTGAAACTTTATGTGAGAGGTACCAGAAGGAGTGGACCGATGGGTGCCATCTTCGGACATAATATAGGTTTGGTAAAAAATATTACGATTTCCAAAGTTTGGATCAATCAAATCATGGCGTTCGATTGATATTGTATTAAAATGTTTTCAAAAATTTGAAATTTTGTGGGAGAGGTACCAGAAGAATTGGGTCGATGGGTCCCATTTTCTGACTTCATCTAGACAAGATCTTCGAACTCCTATCTAGTTTTGGAAAAAGTATAAAGATGTGAAAAGTTTGGTTCAAATCGAACATTTCATTCGCTTGGTATTGAATTAACAAATGTTCAATATTTTGACCCATTGTGGTGGAGGTACCAGAAGGGGTGAACCGACGAGTCTCATCTTCAGACATGATCTAGATTTGGCAAAAATATTACCATGTACAAAGTTTGATTCAAATCGGACATTGCATTCGCTTCATATTTCAAATTTTCAAAATATTGACACTTTGTTGGGGAGATACCAGAAGAAGTGGGCCGATGGGTCCCATCTTCGGTCTCCATCTAGGATTGCTAGAAATATTACGATTTGTAAAGTTTGGGTAAATTCGGACATTATATTCGCTTAATATTGGATTTATTAAAATTGAAAATTTGAACTCTTTGTGGGAGAGGAACTGGAAGGAGTGGATCAATAATTTTGTGTAAGCGGTACCAGAAGGAGTGGACCGATATTCTCAATCTTCGAACTTTATTTAAGTTTGGATGAAATATTACGATGTGCAAAGTTTGTATGAAATCGGTTACTCCATTCCGGAGTAAACGTACTTTCTAAAAAAAAAATAATCGTTCGGAATGACTATTCCGAAGTCTTTTTTCAATAGAAACAATTCCTCAGACCCTCTGAAGTCTCTTTTTTTCTATAGCAAAATATCCTCAGGCCCTCTATTTTTCTATAGAAAACAATTATTCGGAATATCGATAGAAAAAATTCATCTGAACCTATGTAGTTTTCACAGAAAAAAATCCTTAGACCATCTGAGGTATCTTTTTTCTATAGGAAAAAAATCCTCAGACCATCTGAGGTATATAAAAAATCCTCAGACTATCTGAGGTTTCCTTTTTTCTAAAGAAAAAATCCTCAGGTCTCTTTTTTTATATAGAAAACTATTTTTCAGACGATCTGAGAAAAAAATCCTCTGAACCTCTAAGGTCTTTATAGAAAAAAATCCTCAGACCATCAAGGTCTCTTTTTTCTATAGAAAAACTTCCTCAGGACCTCTGAGGTCTTTACAGATAAAAATCTCGTTTTTCGATTAAAAAAAAAACATCTTCAATTCCTCTGAGGTCTCTTTTCTGTAGGAAAAAATCCTCAGACAATCTGAGGTCTCTTTTTTCTGTAGAAAACAATTTTTCAATAATTTTTTCTATAGAAACAATTTTTTCAGTCCCTCTATGATCTCTTATCCTATAGAAAATATTCTGCAGTCACTCTGATCTCTCTTTTTTCTTTAGAAAGTCCTCTGAGGTCTTTGGAGAACAAAATTCTAGAAAAACTCTAGTTTAGTAAAAACAATCAGATTTTTCTGAAATTTTTTTCCGAGGTAGGTATTTTTACCCTAATTATGGGTATATCTTGGGGGACGCACCCGGTTACCATGTTATTTGGCCCGGAAGTTCGTACGGGTAGTATATATAATGAGTATCATTTTAAAGGTTATAAAAATACCTTTCCATTGAGTGGTGATATGCGGTTATCTCAAACTGTTTTGGAGATACAGTCAAAAAACTGGGTTTTTGTCGCCGATTTTTTTGAAAAATTCCCTAATAGTCGAACTTGAATCCATTAGCTGACTCAAATGATAGACCACAATTTGCCCTTTCCACAATGGTGTGATTTTGTGGATCAAAAGATATGTGCCTTAGAATTTTATTGAATTTACTGTAATTTCAGTGACCTCGCATAGCAAATACCTCATTCTATAATTTCCCATAAAAGATGGAAGATTTGTGATACCAGTACAGGCCAGTAGCTTGACATGGTCCTGAAATGGAAATATCGTTAATCTAATTTTATTAATAAAAAAAATAAAGAATTATGTTACCTACGAACATTCTCCTATATAATCATTTATGGCGCTAAAAATCATTTTGATGAATCACTCCTAATCATCTTAAATGAATTGAAATTTTCCAATATATTTTTCATAACCAAACCCTTAACTTTAAGTCTCTCATCTTTTCATGGTATTTGTCCTAATTGGAAAACTAAAAATTATAATAAAAAATGCAATCAAATAAAAAAGTATCAACAATAAGTACCCCCCAAAAGGGCGCCCTTTTAATGTTTAACAAACAACCGAAAACAGCTTGTTTATTATTTTTCTTTTGCAACGAAGAAATCAAAGCCGCAATGGCTACCACATTAACGCATTGGTAAAATCTTCCAATGGAAAACCGACAAAAAAATCGATCAATATATTGCCATACATATCCCGAAAATTCTATATCCACATGAAGGTCATATTTTACTGGAATGATCTCCACTCAAAAAAATATGACTCCCTCCTTTCTCGGAAGAAACAACGACATGTAAATACAACAAACAACCATTGAACAGCGGCACGCCGTCAAACCCCTTACTAGAGGTTGTGACATTGTTGTCTGTTCGTGTCTGTGGTTCTTACCTTATGCTTATGTGTCTAATCAATCCACACTGGTAAAACAGCAGCACTATGTTAAATGTTTCACTTAATAGGGGGGTTTTTCACAAATACAAATTTGTTATGTTATTTGTTGTAAAATAATAATTTTCTATTCGATTTTGCTATTTTGTATTTATTTTCTTTTTTATTATTCTTATTGGGCTGTCGTCGCCATTTTCGCACTTGCACACACACGAAGAAGAAAAACAACGTTGTTAATGAATGTTTTTGTTGTTTTCTGTCTAGGTAGGGTTTGTTACACTCGCGAGAAACTTTTTTTGTCGGGATATTGTTTTGATGATGGTGTTACACTTTTACCGGAAGCTTTTCACAATGCGTAGAAGTCGCTTAGCAGTTAGACGTATTAAAATTTTAAAGTTTTTTTCTACAGATTTTCAAGATATTTATAAATTTTATCAAGAAATTCCGCAAAAAACACTGGTTTCGACCAGAGAACCGAGCCACACTGACAATAAACGGCGTTAAATGATGATATGACAGAGGCTGATGATAACAGGGGAGAGACTTGTGTGAAAGCGTATGGCATATGTCAGAAATGAAGGGCATTGGTTCAATTGAGATATTTTAAGGAAATCCATTATAATTTTAATGATTGAAGGCATTGATTATAGGCGGAAATGTGAATTTATAAAGGAATATTCGTGGTACAATAACAAGAGGTAGATTAATGGTACTTAGTGATTACATTTTTTTCTTTTTGTTCGCCCCTGTTCTGTCAAAACAATTACTCAATTATTAATGTGTTGAAAAATATAAACAAAATTAAAAGATTTTCAAATTAAGTTGTAATTAAAATTCAACATTACAGCACTCAGGGAATAATCATTAGGACTATTGGAAAGAATTCTTATTATAAGTATATTTGCAAGCCTATATTGTGAAAAACAATTGACATTCTATATTAATTTTTTGGGATATTTCCTTAAATAATAAAAATGTGAAAATATGTCAAATAAACAATACAACCTGTTGGATATGTATATATAAGACATTAAACTATACTACAGTTTCTATATATTTCGTCAAGTAATCCTACCTCGTGTTATAAAAACGTGTGAATGTCAAAGACAAACTTCATTTTAGATGCTGTTCTC